ATATATATATATATATATATATATATATATATATATATATATATATATATATATATATATATATATATAATATATATATATATATACAGTCATGTGCATGAAAATAGCAGTGGCACAAAAAATTATAAAAAAAAACCTTATTAAATTTAATGATATGCATAATTTCGGACCGTAATTGTTAATTTTTCATAATTAAGTGTTATCTGACACTATTTAGTCTAAAAAAAGCTTTTAAACTTAAATGGACGATATCATACTACCATTTTTTTAAAAAAGGTACTTTTATCACATTTAATGAATGCAGATTTACCATTAAAAAAATTAATAAAATATAACATTGATGAAAAACTATTTATTCATTTTTTGAAAATACATCTAATACTTAGTTCCATGACCCTTATTTTTCAATACTGCTTTACATCTTCGTGGCATTGACTCGATTAGATGACGACATCTTTCTAAGGGAATAGCTCTCCAAGCTGCTTCAACTGCTCTCCAGAGTTCCTCTTTATTGGCTGGTCTAGACAAAGATACTGCTCTTTTAACATCCCCCCACAGGTTTTCTATCGGGTTCAGGTCTGGGGATTGTGCTGGCCAGTTCATTACCTTAACCTTATTCTCTACAAACCAATTTTTAGCTTTACGAGAGGTGTGTTTAGGATCATTATCCTGCATAAAGATCCACTTCAAAGGCATTTCTTCTTTTGCATATGGTAACATGACTTCTTGCAGTATTTTAACATAAGCAGTTGCATCCATGATGTCTTTGATCCAAAAAATAGGGCCCAACCCAAACCAAGAAAAACAACCCCATGCCATCACCTGGCAGCCACCATGTTTTATTGTCTTGGTGGTATACTTTATATTATATTCTGTTCGTGGGGGTCTTCGTACAAACTTTTCGTGAATACCTGGATTAAATAAAACAATTTTAGTCTCATCACTCCAAAGAATATTACGCCATTTCGATGATGGCCATTCTTGATGCTCTTTAGCAAATGCGATTCTTCTCACTGTCGAGGACGATATTGGTAAATTTAATTCCGTTTTTATGGCTGTGGAACTCATAAAAGGATTTATCTTCGCACATCTAATAATTTTACGGTTCGTTTTCAATGGTGTTTTAAATTTTCCCCCACGCAATGCTGCTTTTTGTGTCCATTTTTTGGCATTGGAAATCATTTTTGCAGAACATTGTAAAGCATCTTGGATGAATTTGTAAGTTTTACCATCTTTTAACATATTTAAAATTATTTGACGCTTCTCATTGGAACAATGTTTTGCTCTACCCATTTTAACTGTAATAAAATTGTGAAACTTAATAAAATATCGTTTAATTTTAATGAACAAACACTTACCTTAATGTATAAAAAAAAATTGATGGTAAAAACAACTTTTAAGGCACTAATAGAAAATAAAGTGTATATTCACTGCTATTATAACGCACAGTTAATAAAGCAAAATTTTATAATTTAATTTAAATTCTGATACATGTATGTATAAACAGCAATATTGCCAACCTCTTTATATTTAAAAACCCTAACAGAAAATATTTAGAGAATAAAATATACAAAATTAACCATCAGTAAAAAAATTAAATGTGTTTTATAAATAATTTTCTCCCACTGCTATTTTCATGCACATGACTGTATATATATATATATATATATATATATATATATAATATATATATATATATATATATATATATATATATGTGTGTGTGTGTGTGTGTGTGTGTGGGTGCGTGTGTCTCGTTGTACGTGAATATATATATATTTAAAATAAAAAGCATAAAACAACAGCTGCAAATAAACTAAATTATTCTTCATAATATTTCGACCTGTTTTTGCACAAATCGCCATCAGACATAAAATATAATACAAAAAACCGTTACAAATATTACATAAAAACGTCAAAGAAGACATTAAAAAGAAGCTATAAATGATTACATAACAACGTAAATATAAAAATAGCAAATATTATTTAATTCCATTTTTTTGTATAATTTTTTTGAACAGAGGTTTCCAACTGTTTGTAGAAATTTTAATGCCATTGTCACGGTTGAGCGTGTTTTATTTCTTGATATGTTAAGGCGTAGTTAATTTCTAGTGATTCTTTATCTTTATGTTCATTGTACTCTGATTTTATTGCTAGAGTTTTCGGATTTGACCAATCAAACATACTGTTACCTTTTCTACCATGTTTGGTTGCGCCAGACGCGCCCCAAACATGGTAGAAAAGGTAACAAAAAAGATAGAAATGGTAACAAAAAGGTAACAAAAGCTCAGTAATAATGCAATATTAAATTTTAAATTTGCATAATAATGCAAGAGGGACATTTGAAAATCACTTCCAATTTGCATAGTATTACAGCAGGGACTGTTAAAGGTTTTATTTTTTATTTTTAAATACTATAATGCTGAACATGACATAAAAAGTATATTTAATGTTATATAGTATTATTCCTCATTTTAAACAGCATCATTCCACAATTTATAGACCATAATTTCTCAATATATATTTGTCTATTTACACAGAATTATTCCTTAATTTATAGTGTTCTTTCTCATTTTAAACAGTATTGTTTCTTAATTTACACAGTATAGTTTCTATGCCTAATACCACATTATTCATGAATTTAAAATTGTAAAAGTTTTCTATAAAGTTAAAAAAATACTTAATAAGTTTTATAAATTATAATAAAGTTAAATAGCATAAAATATTATAAAACTTTGACAAATATTAATAAAAATGAAAATATGGCAAATTTAATTCTAATATGCACATTTAAATCAAATTCATAAATTATAATAAAAATAAATACTTACAGAACCAGAGAGATTTTTCTTAATGGAAGCATCACTCATTGCCATTATTGGATCCGATAAGTGTTTATCAGAAAATTCAGTTGCTAGATTTTTCCGTGTTAACTCCTCAATTATTTGATCTCTTTGTAATTCTAGTTGTTTCTGCTTTGCTATAGATTTAACCTTTGCAAATGCTCTCTGATCTGCCAAAGCCTGCTCTCTTTCTTCTTCTCTGGAATAGTTTATATACTGCTGCTCTGTCAAAATATTTTGCTCTTGTATTGATTTACTTGATCCCAAACTAGAGTCTCGCTGATAAACATCATTACCTTTTAAGTTTACTCCAAGCGAATATTCTGCCACATTTGAAGATAATGTTCCGTTGCGCGAAAAAACTGTTAAAGGCGTTGAATCGCTTGTTGCAAAAGAGTTTGAGTCTGAAACCTTAACAGAAAAAAAACATAATGCAGTCATTTGCTTGTCTATCATAGAGTCTATCCAAAAAATCGATTATACATATCTAAAAATCTGTTAAAAATAAATCCCATTGATCCTCAAATTGAAAACCCACTTTAAAGTAGGCAGAATTATGAACTTTGTTATTAATGATAACTTCAACAAAAAAAATTGTTACATTTTAAAAATTAAAATTGTTACATTTTATAAAAATAGTTAAAACAAATGCAGGTAATACTAGATTTAAAACTAACCATATGAGCTAAGTTATGTGAATTGTTTGCATAGTTTTGTTGAGTTAAGGGTTTAAAACCAGGTGGAGTTTTAGGAATATCCACTTTTGAGGTAACAATTTGAGTTGGATCTAATTGAGTAGAAGGAACTCGATGTTGTTGCAACAGTGACGAAGAAGAAATAATTTCTGCTTTAGAATGCCTATCGTCTATCAAAATGTTTTCTGTAGAAGAAGCACTAAAAGAGGTTTGGTTAAATTAACAACAATTTCATTTATTTTACATTAATAACAATAAATCATTATTTTCATTTAAATTTGTTTAACCAAACATAAACAGTAACATATTTGACAAAATAAAGTGCAACCTCAAAGTTGATGGTAGCAGCGATTTTTCAGTTATCTTGGATTGAACAGGACTTATTGGACCACTACCGAACTCTAATCCTAAAAGCTGCTCCTCAATGTCAGCAACCATATGTGTTGTTCGAGGCATAACAACTGGTTGAGAAGGAACTAAATTAGACTTATGAGCTTTTTTTGGTTTCTGAGACCGAGTTTGTTGGGATAGAGACAGTTTAGGAGACTGCAGTTGTTCCTGCTCAAGCTTATGACTTTCAGTAACACCAGTGACAACTGGCATAGAAGAAAGTAAACGATGATTTGATTCAGGGATCGAAGACATAGCTTGCGAAAAAACTCTATTGTTTAACGATGTCACAACTAAACTACCTTCATGGTGACTCGAAGGAAATTGATTACTAGCAGCAGCTGTAATGTAGCGAGATAAGTCATTTGTGTGTTGATATGAAGTAACTTCTCCACATGTAGATGAAGGTGGAATTGAACAAATAATGGCTGCATCAACACTAAAGTAAAATGATTAAAAATTTAGCTTTAAACAATTCAAAATAATTTTAAAAAAAGAAATAAGATAAAAAATCTATTATAAATTTTACAAAGTTTATAAATAAACACAACAAAAAATATTGGAATTCAAAAATTTTTGAAAAAATATTTTTTTTTAGGGGTAGCCTTCCCTTGAGCATCAGACAATTCCCTAATACTATCAAAGAAAAGGTTCTTCAAATGTATATCATGTTGGATCTCAAAAAAAGCAAAATAATATTAAAATTTCAAAAATAATTATTATTTTATAAAAAAAAAGTATTATTTTAAATTTGACTTTAAATATTTCATTTTTAACTAAAGATAAAAATATGTACAAAAAAATTTCATTAAAATCTTTTTTCTTATTGTTTTTTTATAAAATCATAGTTACTTTTAAAAATTTTATATGATTTTGTTTTTTTTGAGACCCATAAAGATATACTTTGAAACAATTGCATCTGTTAACTATTTTTTAACTATCCCAGGTAGCGACATATTGCTTTTTTTTAATGAATGTTGACTTGCGTATCTTTATTTATTGACCAACGTTTAATTTAAGAGATTTATGTCAAATAAGGAAATTTTATTTTCAAATAATTTTTATTCTAGTTAATAAGATATTAAATACATCAAAGATCCTTGATAAATATATTTAATTTTTATTTTTTAAAAAATATTTTTTTCACATATACAAAGTGCACGAAAATTACTGATAAATACACAATAAAAATAACTTTTTAAAGTGTTTTAATATGCAAAAAAACATTACTTAACATTAAGGAAAATAAGAAAATTAAAAAAAAACAACATGCAAAATGTTATTTATAATAAATTCATTTGCTTTAAACTTTCAATGTAATTGCTAATTACATAAAGAAACCATGCTTAAACATTATGATCGCTTTCTTCAATAAAAGAAAGCAATCAAAAGCAAAAGCATTCATTTAAAGCAAAATTTTGCATACTTTCGTGAGAGCATGCAAAAACCATGTAAAACATTAAAAGTAATGCTATTGAAAAAAATAATTATGTTTTGGCAGTTATTTTAAAAGAATCTGAAATTAATTGTTTTTTTATTTTAAATGTGTTTTTTATAATAAATAAAATCAATAACAAAATTATTTTGAAAAAAAATTGCTGAAATAATGTGTTCATTTTGAAAAATCTTAATCAAACACCAATTTCTTTAAGTTTGCATAAGAAAAATTAAAGAAACATATTGTTTGTTTTTCTTTCAGTCTTTTAACAAATGCGCGCACATTTGTCGATTTGTCTGATACACTGTATCCTTTTAACTTTTTAATAAAATTAAAAATTTGCACCACAAAATTTTATTAAATTTGATTGCACTGCTTCAAGTTTCAAAATTTTGACTTTGATCCATTGCACAACTGCCTGATTCCCCTCTTTAACATATATTTACAAAAATCATCTTTTATTAACTTGTTATATATAGTTTACTAAAAAATTCTCTAAAATAATTTTTTCTACAGACTTGATTAAGGTTCATCTGGAAATGCATTTACATACAGTTATAAATGCATTAAATTAAAAACTTTTAAAGACAAAATATAGAAAAATTTTAATCTATTTGATTTTTTAACAAAAAAAAAATTTCAAAAGATTGTTTAAAATAATCTAATTGAAAACGCGTTAAAATAAATCGAATATATATATATATATATATATATATATATATATATATATATATATATATATATATATATATATATATATATATATACATGTATATTCGATTTATTTTATTTAATATATAACCAACATTAAAATGTAAACTTTACTTCCTTATTTTTGAAAAGAAAAAAAAATATATATATATATATATATATATATATATGAATATATATATATATATATATATATATATATATATATATATATATATATATATATATATGTAATAAAGTTAAATATGTAGTATCAAAAAAACAAGTTTATTTTCCTTAACCGGTTATCTCTGATAAATTTTTATATATTTTTAAAGCCAGACTCACAAAATTTTAACCTATATTATTCTTTCGACTAACAGCTTTCATACAAAATAGCTAAAAGTTTAATTTACAGTTTAAAATAGGCAAATATTTCATAAAGTTGTGCGTGTAACATTTTGTATATACACACCGCAAAAATTTTTGGTAACTTAGTAGTTTTTTACCAATAACAACTGATATTAAATTTTAAAACTGTTTATAAGCCATAAAATAATTCCATTAAGATGTGCTAATGTATTTTTAATATTGTATTGCAAAATCTATATTTTTTTCATATTCGTATTATAAACATGCTCGAACATACTTAGTAAAAAATTTGTAAATAAAATTTAACTGTTCTTTTGTCATCAAAGTATAATTTTGTTGAATTTAACATAGTATATTGGATTAATTTTAAATTTAGTAAATACTTTATATAGCTGAATTTTATATATTTTTTTAATTTCCAGTTTATAAATTTTTAAATGCATTTTTATTATTTTTAGATTAAACTTTTAGAAAATAATATAAAATGTCAAAGAAATGTAATTTCTCACTAGAAACACGTTCTTCAATTGTTGCTCTGTCAAATGATCGTCATTCTACTAGATTTATTCAAAAAAAATTTTGGATGTAGTTACATCTGAAAAAACTACAGATGTTATTATACATCAATGAAATTTGGGATATTGTTGCACGGATGTTATTATACATCTATGAAATATCAGATGTTGTTTCACGGATGTTATTATACATGGCAAAAACAGATGTTATTGCCCTGAACCCTTGAAAACTGTTGGCTTAAATGGTAGAATAGCTGTTCAAAAACCAATAAAAAATTGTAAAATCAATAAATCGGAAAAAAAAGACTTCAATGGGCTCTAACACATTTAAGACAGATATAGACTGGCAAAATGTATTGTGGATGGACAAATCTAAATTTCTTATTTTTAGAACAAAGCGACGAATTTATGTGCGATGAACAGCAACTGAAAAATTTCATCCAACATTCATATATATATGTATATTCGATATGTATAATATCTCATGATATCCGTTCAAAGAACGGATATCATGAGATATTATGTAGACATACCATGCCTTGTGGAAAGCGGTTAATTGGCCACGGGGTCACCATACAACAGGATAATGACCCAAAACACACATCTAAATACTGTACAAACTATTTGCAAAAAAAAGAAGCTTGTGGAGTACTCAAAGTTATGACATGGCCCCCACAATCCCCTGATTTCAACCCAATGGAGTTACTTTAAGAACAACTGGATCGTGAGGTAAGAAAAGAGTGTCCTACATCAACAACTCATTTGTGGTTAATTTTGCAACAAGTGTGGAATAATATTTCTCCAATTTATTTGGATAATTTAATCAAACGTATGCCAAAACTTGTTTGTGCAGTAAGGAGTGCAAAGGGTGGATTTTTTGATGAAAAAAAATAAAATAAAATTTTTGATTGTGTTGTATTGCATAAGCTAGTTTATTTTTATCATAGGTTTAAAGACGTTGATTAGTTTGTAATTATTTGTAATTATAGTTGATTAATAGTTAGTTAACTTGTTTTTTATATATCTCTTTACAAAAACAGAGTTTACTTTACAAAACTTGTTTGTGCAGTAAGGAGTGCAAAGGGTGGATTTTTTGATGAAAAAAAAATAATAAAATTTTTGATTGTGTTGTATTGCATAAGCTCGTTTATTTTTATCATAGGTTTAAAGACGTTGATTAGTTTGTAATTATTTGTAATTATAGTTGGTTAATAGTTAGTTAACTTGTTTTTTATATATCTCTTTACAAAAACAGAATGACCGGACGCTTTTGCCGGGCAGTGTGTGTGTGTATATATATATATATATATATATATATATATATATATATATATATATATATATATATATATATATATATATATATATATATATATTGTATGTATGTATGTTTGTATGTATGCAGGCTTTCACAGGAAGGTGTGCGATTGCATGTCTTTAATTGACCACACAAAAAATAATACGTTTTAAAGATTTGACCACAGCTTATGACTACAAAAAACTTACCATAACTTATCTTAAAAAAAAAATTGTAAAAAAAAAAATCTTATTGAAAAAATTAAAAAAATATTGAACTAAAGCAAAAACACAAAAAAATAAATATATATAACCCAACCCTTTTTTTTTTTCAAAAAAATTTTGTTTATCTTTTTTAATGTATAACCTTTAATAATTCTTAAATTAAAATTCATTAAAGAGACTTTTGTAGTCGTAGAATGTCATTGTTTATTAAAACAAAACAATTTTTTATTTTATAATAATGTTTATTATAGAAATACACACTTAAACAATTTATATATTATAAATTAAAAAAATATATACAACTGTCAGTATTTAAACATATACAAAAAAAATATAAAAATGTCAATATATCAATATTAAAAAAAAAAATCCATTATCAGTAAATTGTTACTTTATTAAGTGCGCTTTGCTAATATTAAAACATTTGTTAAGATGATTTGATATAATTAAATTCACTTTTTCAGAACATTTTTTGTTTAGCAATTTTTAGTATTTTTTGAATTAGCCGCGGTCAAATTGTCATAGCAAAATGTAATTTGCTTGGTCATATAAAGACGTGCAATCGCACACCTTCCTGTGAAAGGCTGGTATGTATGTATGTATGTATGTATGTATGTATGTATGTATGTATGTATGTATGTATGTATGTATGTATGTATGTATGTATGTATGTATGTATGTATGTATGTATGTATGTATATATATATATATATATATATATATATATATATATATATATATATATATATATATATATATATAGGTCTCAACGGGAAACAAGAGCTTTAGCTCTTGCCCACACTCCCCTAAAACGGTTATGGGAGCAATTTACAGTTCTTGCAAAAGTTTTTTTTTTTCTCTTAAAAGTTTAATTATCATTGTAACTAAAACCAAATACACAAATTCAAAAAAATTTAATTCTTTGGATAATAAACAGGCATGGTTTTTGCAAAGTCAAAAAAAATTTTACTTCTAAAGAATTTTTTCACGGTGCAACAAATTATGCTTGTTATGTGTATATTATTGTAATATTAACGTTACAATCAGTAACAGGAATAAAACCAAATTTTGTATTTTTTTAGCAATTTTTATTTAAATAAACAGATAGCTTGTGCAAAAACCAAAACCTCTCGTAAAAAGCAGTTTAGAGGAGCAGCTTGCATGGCTCGCCATGTTTGTTATAAGAGAGCTTTTCTCCGCTCTCACCCTTATTAACTCCCCCGAGGCCTGTATATATATTGTATGTATGTATGAGTGCAAATTATTACCGACCTCAATCTTTTAGAAGTCTACATCAGGTCGGCAAAATTTATTTTGGACAAAGGTCTTACCATAAAACATAGAAACGAGGTCGGCCGTTAAGAAGGCATTGCCGAATGTCAACCCTAATTCAGAGGGTTGATATACATATATATATATATATATATATATATATATATATATATATATATATATACCCACTTAAAAATAATACTCAAATATGATAAAAAGAAATACTTTTCAGGAACATATTTCCCTTCATTAATTGTTGCATTCCATTGCATAGAAGAATCCATACCATTCATTTGTGCCCAATTATTGTCATTTGGAAGCGAACTGTCTGATAAATGGGCTGACTCTTCCTAAAATATATTTTATATTATTTAACTTAAGATTCTTTTCCTAGTTAACCATAGAGTTATTTTCCTAGCTTTATGTATTGTTATGATTTGTTATGACTAACTTTTGGAACTAATCAATGTTTTGATTAGTTTTGCATTTGATGAAATTAATTAGTAATACACTTTACCAAAGTAAACCAATATTACCATAGCACCAAATAAAGAGATATATGTTCAGTAAATATTACTCAAGTATTATTATGTATATTACTTATTAGGTTAAATTAAAAAAAACTAAATCAAAAGTTAACCTAACTTAATGTATTTCTTAAAGTTTAAAATTGGTGTATTTTTTTATCCATTTTATAGAGTTTTTTTATTTATACAAATGGTCTACATTATTGGTTTTATTTAATAAAAAAAATAAAATACAACAAACAAAATATAAAACTTTTTAAAATAATATAAAACTTTTATTAAACAATATCAATTATGTATTATATAATTGAAACTATATTCCATACAATAAATAAATTTTTGTTAGTTTTTGGCCATTCCTTCTGGAATAAATTTAACTTTTGAATGATAATTTATTGATAAATTGATAATGATAAATTGGATAATAAATTAATTAACAAGTTAATAAGGACAATTGAGCTGCAACAGGGACAAAAATTCTTGCAAAGAATGATTAAAAGAAAAAAAAAATTGAACTTGAAATCCTTACTTATATAAATTATTATTGTTTAACTTTTTATTACTGTTATTATTTTAACATATATAAAAACATTTTTAAATACTAATTACAAAAAAAAATTTTAAGTTTTAAAAAAAAGTAAAAACCTAGGTCAGCCTAGAGTCAACAAAACTATAAATCTGGTTCTGTTTGTGCCACATGTGATGTATTATTTTAACCAAAGAGTTTGCAGTCACAATTTATACACATATATTATTCGAATATTACCTTTGAAAAATCATCATTTGGATATTCAGTTTGATTTAAATCTTCAGTAGGCCCTAACCAATCTTTAAAAAAATAAATATAAACCTTGAAATTTTTAAATTCTTAACGAAACAAAACTGCATAAAAACAAATTTAAAAATTTAAAAAAACAAATTTAAAAGTTAAATATTCTAAAATGATTTAATAAAAACAACTTTTACTAAATTTTCTATTTTATAAAAAAATAACTTGTTAAAAAACCTTTGTTATCATCACTGTCTTCATTGTGTTTTGCCTCACATTCCCATGACTCCTCTGAAATCATATAATCATATTGAATATAAAAAGATTATAAAAATATAAAAAGCATAAACATTTTACTTCAATAGGAATCTGTTCAAATATTTTTATTTTTATCATTAAAAAATGTTAATTGCAGTTTTTAAAAATAAAATTAAAAAAAAAAACATTTTTTCATAATACCATCATTTTCTCCATTTTCAAGTTTCTGCAATTTTTGCGCCCTTCCTCCTTTCACAGGCCCATATTTGTTCTGCCTTGATGGACTAATGTTTAAATTTAATTAAAAATAACCAATAGTTACCAATAATTAACTTCATTATGTAATCTACTCTGCAATTGTTTCTCAAAACGCCTTAAGATGTTTATTAAATACTTTGAAAAAATTGCAATAAAATTATTAGGAGAAACTCTTTGTGAAATGTTTTTTGAAACAAATAACTTATATGAATTTTTTCATAATATTTTGAAAATACTTATTCAATAATGCTAGTCGGCATCTAAATTATCTTATTTTGTAAAAACGTCTTAATTTTTTATTTTACCTTAAAGCGTTTTGAAAAATGGCTGTAGTATTATTAATGAAAAAACTTTTTTTCATATATATATATATATATATATATATATATATATATATATATATATATATATATATATATATATTGCATATATATACGCAATAAAATTTCAAATACTTTTACTTAAATAAAACTACTATTTAAGGATTTTTGATTTCTTCTTTTGAATACCAGGTTGACATACTTATAAATAAGTTTTCTTCAGATAATTTTTTTTTTTTTAAACCATGAATTTTTTGCATGTAATGGTTTTTTGAATGAAAATATACAATAAAAACCTTCAGAATTTAAAAATTTAAATTTAAAATTATAGCAATTAATAAGCAATATTATTTGAAAATTTCAATAAAAACAAACTAACGAATGTAAATAAAAATAAAATACCTTTGAAATGCCATTCCACCCCTACCGAATCCACCTCTGCCAAAACCACCTCTACCAAAACCACCTCTTCCTCCACGACCACCTACAATATTTATAAAATGTGTCATTTTTAATGTGTTGCACTCCTTAAAAACTAAAAAAATATTACCGGATATAATTAATAAATCAACCTGATTCAATATGCTATTATGTGGTTGCATATTGAGATTTAGTTTGATAGATTTTAGACTTGATACATAAATTAATTATTTCAATATCAATACTATGTTGTATAATATATAGAAATTCTATGTTGATTTTTAATATGATCTATTGCATACATTGCATTTTTTTTTCTCAGTTTCTTATACTATTACCTGTCTGCTTTTTATTTTCATTATTTTCATTATGATAATTATTACTATTATTACATATTAGCATTATTTCAATATTTTCTTCCTTATTATTATTTTATTTATATATATTACCTTGTTTTGTTTAGTGTTTTTGTTGGTTTGTTTTTATTTTACATTTGCTGTTATTTTATGTTTTTATAACTTTGAACTATTTAAGTTTCTTCTTATCTGTCATAAAAAAATTACACTGTAAATTTTTGTCTATAGCTGAATAAACATTTTAAAAAGAATTTGGTTATGTACTTTATCATATCTTATTATTGCATTCACTATTAATTTTCAGTAATGTGTAATTTTCAATAGTATTGTATAAGAATTAATTAAAAAGTAAGTTAAAACTTACTTTTAAATTAATTCTGAATAATTATTGATAAATTTACCCTGTATGTTAACTAAAATTACTTGTAAATTGATAAATTAAAAAAAAAAAAAACTATAGGCAAAAAGAAAATTTTCTTATAAGTAATTAACATGGAATTTTAATTGAATACAGAAACTTCAAAGTTTAACTGTTTTAAAATAAAAATTTAATGCTAATTTTATCAGTAAATTTGGTTTCAAAATTTACCAGTAAAATTACACCATTATTTTGTAGATTAGTATGCAAACCAAGGTGGATGTAAATTTCACTCGACTGATTACACAATTAAAAAACATAATACATGACAAGATATTCAACTGGAAAACTTCTACTTACTGCAAAAATAAAAAAATACCCCTAAAAATAAATGATACCCCTAAAGTTTCCTCTTCCTCTACTTGCTCTACCTCTGCCACGTCCTTGCTCATTTGTAAAATTATTCACTTCTGTTTTTACTTCATTTTTTTTAACATCAAACCTTTCAGTTTCATTGTTTTTTCCTTGCTTTTCTATTAATGGTTGTGTAATCCAAGCTGTAATTATTTATGATAAATAAAAGTTCAAATAAAATAATTTTTAAAATTTTTTATATATTATTTATATATATATATATATATATACTTATATATATATATATACTTATATATATATATATATATATATATTTATATATATATATATATATATATATATATATATATTTATATATATATATATATATATATATATATATATATATATATATATATATATATATATATACTTATATATATATTAATATATATATATATAAGTATATATATATAAATAATATATAAAAAATTTTATATATATATATATATATATATATATATATACACATATATATATATATATAAATATATATATATATATATATTTATAAATATATATATATATATTTTTATAAATATATATATATATATATATATATATATATATATATATATATATATATATATATATATATGCATGACTAATTTCATTCAAGTGGGCTTCTTTTATGTACATTTAGTAAAACTATTCAATGTACCGTAGTGTATTCATTTAAAACATTGTGCATAACTTATGTACATTTGAAAACATATTGTACTTTAATTTTTTACAAGGTTTTATTATTAAGCACTCTTTTGTAAGTAAAATCTGTCTGGTCATCTTGCTGGACTACCAACAGGCATTTTTTTCAAAATCTAAGTCGCTCTTCAATGAAACAAGTTATCCTGTGCTGCCAAACAATCATGACATGATATCCCTGTGTGTGTTTATATATATATATATATATATATATATATATATATATATATATATATATATATATATATATATATATACAGTGCTCAAAATAACGGCTGATCAACGATCACTAATTGACTATTTTTTGGGAAATTTCAAAAAATTCAAGGGAAAATAACCTGTTTTTTTGAAAAAATTAAATTTGATCGGCAAGCTTTGAAAAACTATTTCGAGCGCTGTATACATACATATATATATTCACAGCCCTCCAAATTAGGAAAAATGAGGTTGAAAATAGTTTGCTGACCTAAATCTTTTAGAGATCAGCATCAGGTCAGCAAAACAATTTGATACAAAAGTTTCACCATAAAACATAGAAATGAGGTTGACGATTTTTTGCCAACCTCGAACAGATCTATGTAGTTATATCACCATTGCCAAATGCTTGCCCTAATTCCGAGAGCTAATATATAGACACACATGCATAAAAATTATATTATACTAATATTTAAAATATAATTTAAGAAAAATAGATACAAATAATTTGTGTTAAAGAACCATTTTTAAAAAAATATTGCTATTATTACATTTTCCTTCTTTATTACTTTTGTCTTTAGAATAATTCTTAGAAGGCTTTTGTTCCTTCTCTTCGACTTCAACTGACTTATCTGTGTAAGCAAGAACTTTCTTTCCTTTTTTTGTTGCAGTTGTTTGCCAATCACACTGGAAAAAAAAAATTAGTACTAGTTTGAAAAATTTATAACTCTTTATAATCTGAGACCTTTCTTTTTTTTCTATTTACTTGTTTTTTCCTTTATACGTATTTATACACTTTTTTATTTTACAAAGTGTTTCATCAATAAAGATTTCTGATTTCTGATGAGCCTTTATCGATGGAACACTGTGTAAAGAAAAAAATTATAATATTTTATATAGAGAGAGAGAAAAAGAAAAAAGGTAGGAAAACTTAAAAGATAAGTAATAAAAGCAAAAAAAAAGGAACCACAAGATTTTGAGCATTTTCTTTGCTTAACTGGATATATTGGAGAACAAACATTATGAAAAAACCCCAACTTAAACAAGTTATAATGATGATGATGATTCAGGACTTTAAACAACAAATATTTCAATGATTATTTCACATGTTATTATATAAATACTGTTTAATTTAACTCTATATTTGTAATTGAAACTTGGTGATTAGTCACCAACTGATATTCTGGGTTGTAATCTGTTTAGAAAAAAATTTAAATTTTGTCAAGGTTTATGTATTTATGTGCAAGAGAATATTACATCTTATGAAATAAATGAAAAGTATCTGATAAACAAAAGTATTGAGCATATCTGGTTTTTGATTGAAGTTGGAAAAGAATAAATTTTTTGTGGTTGTATGCACAGGTCTTAGTATTATAAAAATGCAAAGACATCATAAAATCTTTAAAACAGGCGTATAAACTTAAACAAAATAAGAACTGGTATTTAAATATGTGGAGATTTTAACTACGCAAACATCAAATGAAACGATAAAACTGAAAATAAAGTGAAATTACAAATGAGAGTGACACAACAGCAAGTATGTTTATTAAATCATTATATGATTGTTATCTGCACCAGAAATGTTATCAGTCCTAGTTTTTAAGTTAAATTCCGTATTAATATTTACTGTATATTAGCAGCCAAGTTTAAACTCTAGGTGTATGCTATTAGATGGCATTCAACATGGACATCATATTTTTGAACATCAATTTGGTTATGGAAATAGCTCTAATTTATTAATAATACAACAATCAAAAAAGTATAAAAAAGTTATATATTAAAAAAAAAACTTTATTACATAAGATTTTTATTTTAAAAACATAAATTGGCCACAGAAATTTGAACAACTTGACATTAATGAATGTAATGAAAAATGAAATTTATATTTCATTTAAATGAAAAAATATTTTTTTTTAAATTTCAATTTATTTCATCAAGGCCATGAAAGCCACTGCAGTCGAGGAGGCTACTTTAGTTGTGGTTACAACCCTCTTTCAACTCTATAACTTCGAAGCACGAACAAGAAGCTTTGCGGAGAAATAACTTTAGTGCAGTACTACCAAGATCGTGGTGGGAATCAAACTCAGAACTTCTTTTTTATGAGGCAAGTGCTCTATCACTACAATACTTCCACAGTATTCAAGACATAGTTAACAAGTACTTGCTAATTGTGATAAATTAGATGACAAGTCTAGAAGATAAAACGATGTTGCACAAGCTTAGAAGATGATCCTCAATCAGGACATCCTAAAAGTGTGACTACTGAAGAAATGATTGATACCATTCATGATATGGTTATGAATGAGAGAACATTAACTTTGAGTGAGATTTTTTAAGACCATGAATATCTCAACTGAGTAAAATACTTCATATTTTGAAAGATGTGCTAGGCCACCAAAAAACTTTGTGCACAACTATTCTTAAATTGTGATCAAAAACGACTTCATGTATATCTTTCTAAGAAACATTGGGAGCTTTTTCAAAAAAATAAAAAATATTTTGTATGTTATTTTGTCACTATGGATGAAACCACTACGATCCCAAGCTGTGACAACAAACCTCAGAGTAGACTGAGCCTGGTTGTTCAGCCTCAAAACGACCAAAATGTTCCAAAACATCCAAAAAGGTTATGGTATCTGTTGTCTGGGATGCAAAGGGCATTATGTTGATTGATTATTTTCAAACCGGTAAAACCATAGTAGGAGAATATTGTTCAAATATGTTGGATAATTTAAATACAAAAATTAAAGAAAAGAGACCTGGTTTGAAGAAGAAAAAAATCCTTTTCCATCAAGATAACACACCAGCACACTTAACTTAAAATATTTAAAAATAATCTTAACTTATAATTTAAAGTTTAAGTTGCAGATATAGTGCAATGAGCAAGTAATGTATTTAAAACTATCAAGATATTACTTTTAGTAATTGTTTTTACTTAACATGATACTTAAAAAATTAAAAAAAAAAAAAGAGTAAGAGTAAAAAACAAACATTAAATAAACTTTAATTAGTCATAGAAAACTATTTAATATGTTTAAAATGTGTTTAAAATAAAACAAAATAAATAAAATTGTTTCAACTAATAAATTTAAACATTACTGTTAAAACTTCATATTTGCACAAAAACTTGCTTATAGACCATACGAGTCTAGAATCTATAGACCAAATGAGTAAGATCAAAGCAAAAAAACATTAGATACCAAGTTTTTTATAATTTATTGTTTCTTGATCTAGAGTACTATTAAAAACTTAAGTATAATTAAGGTTTTAAATTGATGTTTTCATTCAATTTTTTTTTAATCAAATTGTTTTCCAATAAAAAGTGAAAAAAAAAAAAATTGGTTTAATAAATCGAATTATATTTCCTTAAGTTTAAGAATACGCTTAAATTATTTTTTTAGAAATTTCTTTGAACAGAAGTAAAATAATTTATTAATTTTAATTTTCATCTTTAATAATTTAATTTTTATTCTAAAAAAAAAAGTTAAAAAGGGAAAAAATTTCTTTCTCATTCTTCATTTCAGGTTGTTTTAAGGAATTTTATTTAAAAAGAAATCTATTTAAACAAAATAATTTTAGTATTTCTCTTATCCAAATTCATTTGCAATAGAATGTTTCTACTTTTGAAACTATTTTCAAGAAAAAAAATATAATTAATTATTCAAAACGTTTACGATTTTTACAATATACAAAAAAAAAAAATTTCTTTCTCATTCTCCCTTGTTTCTTCAAATTCTTTAAAAATTTTCCAATTTTTATTTTAATTTCAAATTTTAATCGCAAAATTATTTTAATAAGAGAATTTGAGAAGACTAAAATTCTTTTGTTCAAATAGATTTTTTTAAAAATAAAAACAACTTGCGTATTTATTGAAAATGTTTGATCTTGATATCACATTAAATAAAATTAAAAAAAAAAAAAATGTCTCATTTTTTATATTTGAGATTTCTTGTTAAAATCATTTTTAGTTAGAAGCTTATATTAGGTGTTAACAACGTATAAGATATAAATAGAAACATTTATATAGCTAATTTTTGCAAGTAATTTCAAATTTCAATTGCAAAATTATTTGGATAAGAGAAATACTAAAATTATTTTGTTTAAATAGATTTCTTTTTAAATAAAATTCCTTAAAACAACCTGGTTCCTATTGCTAATAGCATTGATTAACTATAAGAAAATTTTTTTTAATTTTAACAAACTAATAATTTGTTTTAATATAATTACAGTAGTAAAATTAATAATTGTTGATAAAATAATAATTTAAATTATTAATAATAAGTTAATTTGGCACAACATTTTTTAAAAAAAGATAAAAACCAGGCTGTTTTGTTAAAAAAAAAAACGAAGATAAAATTCGCTTTAACATCTTTTCCCTTTTTAACTTTTCGCTTTTTAAAATATTATTTTTTCTGCTTCCACACAGAGATTTATAAAAAATTTAAAAATGCTTTACATCAAATGAAAATATCTCGCACAAAAGAGCAAATGCTTCTATTCAAAAGATTAATTTAGTGTGGCATACTTTACAGGGGCTATTCTAGACCATTTTCGACAGCATCGACCAGATTTGGGCACCGTCCAAATTAAAAACTGCTGACCTTTTTTTTTAACATTTTTTATGGCATAAATTGTTTTTTCCGCAAAAAAAACGCTGATATTCAGCAACATTTCTGCTAAATTTCTCCGGACGAAAGGTACTGCCGCCCATACATTTTTCCTAGAATAACCCCTGCCTTATGACAAAAACATTACTTTTAAAAATTGGCAAAAAAAGCAAAAAATTTATAGCTTTTATTTTTTTTTTTAAATTATTAAAATTTAATTTTAAAAATTGGCAAAAAAAAAGTAAATTAACAACAAACAAAAAAAAAACAATCAGAGAAAATATTTTTTAAAGAAAAAACTAATCGTAAAGGTGTGAAAAGCTATATATATATATATATATATATATATATATATATATATATATATATATATATATATATATATATATATATATATATATATATATATATATATATATATATATATATATATATATATATACATATATATATATATATATATATATATATATATATATATATATATATATATATATATACACACTTACTAAAGTGTGTTTTGATAAGCATTTGCTCACTTTTTCTGCTTACCTTAAGCTATACTGTTTTTTTCGAAAAAGAAGAAAACAAAGAATGTTAAATAAAACAAATGCTTCCCCATCCCAAAACCTCAGTGGATGTAGCAGCACTCCACTGCGAGTCAGGCTATTTGTCAGTAGATACATGTACTGAAGCCCCCAGCAGCAGGCTATTTCAGTATGACATCAGATTGTTTACCTTAGTACGCAATACTATTTGTATATATATATAATGTATATATAAAAAATATACATAATATATATATAATATATATATATATATAATATATAAATAATATATATAAAATATATATAAAATATATAAAATATATTTTATATATATTATATATATATATATAAAATATATATATATATAAAATATATATAATATATATATTATATATACAATATATATATATACATATATATCAGGCCTTGCGATGAATAAGAACTGCGCGACGCATAAGCACGACGTGATTTTTGACGTCATTAAATTCTTTTTATTTGCTTTTCATATTTATCGACATTAACTGCACCAATT